ACAATTTAAGCATTGAGACCCCGCGGAACAGCAGTAGACTCCATACGACCCGGTCCTCTCGCAAGAAGACAAGACAGAAGAAGAAGAACGGAATAGGGAGAGTGAGCATGTACGAAATAAACGATGGGCGCGGGGACGTGATTCTTTCATGCTGGGGAGTAGCACGGGCAACAACATGCTCGACTTCTATTTAAGCACATCATCATCACCTTGATTGCGTAAATCCTCGACGTGACGGGAAGTGGCCGGTCGGTCTCTAGACTAGAGGTTTCACTTCTTCCAAAAACAAATAGTGTGTGTGTGTCTGTCTGCCTGACCACTTACTTTCAGTATGGGAAGCTTCGATCACCACGCACTTGATTCAGTGAACCCCCGGAGGTACTGTAGGTGTGCGCGTGTTAGTATACCCTTGTAAGTGTGTTGAAGATGATGGTATCACTTGTATTTTAGGACAGCAGACATGATCAGGACGCGGCGGGAGAGAGAGAGTGCCACGACACAGCAAGCACTCCCGCAGGGTCGAGCCCCGTGGATCAACCATGAAACCAACCCAGGGGACTATCAATTCCCATCTGCGTAGCCAATTCCTACAGTCCCGTTGGGATATTGTCATCCACTCATGCACACAGGAACACCCTCCCTGGTTCTTTACGCTAGTAATTAACCACTAGTGGGCACACGCCGGATGTGACGAAACCCAAACGGACAAAAAACCAACGCGAAAAAATAACAGGGGGAAACCCGGCCTCCGGGTCAAAACCCCCACCAATATTCACCGTTCCACCAGATACTGTCACTGTTGCGCTACCAGAGCAAGATCAATACATGCATAATACCAGTCGCGCCAGAATCCACGCTCGGAATCTATATCTACAAACGTGGGCGGCGTGCTATCATATTCTTCCTGCATGAAGTACCAAGATCATAACCCTGTTTCCAACAACGGCCTATCCCAATTCTTGGTAAGCAATAGCGTAAGACTATCCTGAGGAGTTGGTTCAAACAACTACCATGCGGCTGCACTACTATCTGTTCTTCAAACAAACATCAGACAAACATCGAAATCTCCCCCCCTCGCTGACGTAACACAGCGCACCGGGGCAAAAGGCAATCATCCAACATTCTCTGAGTGACACACAAACAGCATGTATTTTTCGACAATCCTCTGTTCTCGTCGACGTACGACACTGGTGTCCCAATTTTTCCTCATACGTTCCTTCAGCGGTTCCAACAGTATCCCAATTCCTGCACATTTCGCAACCTGGAGAACGGCCCCACGTGGCCGTAATCAAGAAGGGTTTCAACCGAATGACTACCAGGAAAATACTGAACATGTGGACGCGAAGGCCTCCGAGAAACACGAAACACCCTCCCTGGCTCTTCAACCAAAGTGCACTCATGACAACTAACGAGGATCACCAACTTCGCTGCGAATACCATCAAACACCAAATACCGTCAAGAAAGAAGTGCATATCCAGCACTGTGATGCGTGTTGCTCCACTCCCAGCGCTCGTCCCGGCCTGTAGCCTCGCCAGAAAAGGAGTTCCCGTTTTAGCACCACGAGGCAAGTACCCTCCCCCCCACGCCCCTTCCGACGTGCCGCGGGGTTCCCCCCTCACGCCCTTTCCGGCGCGCCACCCCCCGTGACTGCCATCGGGGTTGGGTTTTCGTCGCTTGGCAACGACGTTGTAAAACAAGCCGCCCCCCCCGGTGTTTGCCATCGGGGTTTGGGTTTTCGTCGCGTGGCAACGACGTTGTAAAACAAGCCCCCCACTCGGTGTTTGCCATCGGGATTGGGTTTTCGTCGCTTGGCAACGACGTTGTAAAACAAGCCAATTCACTTCGTGAACTCGGCAACCAGGTTACCGTCTTTTTTTTTACCTCTGGTTTTTTTTTTGGCGGTAACCATAATGGTGGTCGAGTAGATCATGTTGTGCGGGGTCGAGAAACCTCACTCCGCGCAACGGGGGATGATCGCACCACGTTGTGTTAAAATGGTCAAGCTTCCTCGAGGCAGTTACACAGTGCTTACAACTGTCTCTGGAAGTGAAAGCACCAGAAAATAAATTAAGTCATACGTAGCTGTCATCCGTACGCAAGGAAGTAAGCAGAAGATGCCGAACACCCTTAGCAGGATGCAGCTCACCCTTCATGCGACTCGCCAAATACCTCACGGCGCTTCGCGCTTGGTGATGTGAGAGCCTGGTCCGGTGAGAACCCGGCGTGCTCCGTCCCGGCTTTGTAGGGATGCGAGGTCAATGGTCAAACGACTACGGCATGCACGACTATGAGTACACCCCCCCCCCTCACGCCCCGTCCGACGCGCCAGGGGGCCTTAGAGTTTTTCCCCCCCTCGCGCCCCGCCCGACGCGCCACGGGGCTAATGTTTACCTCCCCCCCACGCCCTCCCGACACGCCATGGGGCTGCATTGATTGTTGCCCTTCCGCGCCCCTCCCGTCGCGGCTGCGAGCACACGGCCCTCCCGCCGTGTTATTTTGTTGTTGCCCTCCCGCGCCCCTCCCGTCGCAGCTGCCAGCACACGGCCCTCCCGCCGTGTTATTTGGTTGTTGCCCTCCCGCGCCCCTCCCGTCGCAGCTATGAGCACACGGCCCTCCCGCCGTGTTATTTACATGTTGCCCTCCCGCGCCCCTCCCGTCGCGGCTATGGGCACACGACAATCTCGCCGTGTTCTCTGAATGCTGCCCCCCCCCCGCTCTCTTCCGTCGCAGCTATGGGCACACGGCCTTGCGGCCGGTTTTCTGGGAGTCCACCCTCCCACGCTGCTGCAATGGTGCCATCTTCACCATCTCCTGCTGCTGCTGTTGTGTGTGGATGGAGCGCGCGTAGTGACTCGCGCGGCTATGGTGTATTTCCTCCGCCTCTTCTTACAGGCCTCACGTGCTACATCCAGCTCCTCGTCATCGCTCGCCACCACGATCGCCAGGACTGCCGACAGGGTCTGCACGATGCTGACCGATGCCCCCGCTTGTTGCACCGATATTATCTACTGCCTCACCCCACCGTGTCTTTCTTCCCATGGCCCCACGATTAGCTTCACCTGGTTGCTTTGATGGCGCATCGACGGCGTCGTGGGGATGCATGCTGCCCCAGCTCTCTAGACGCAAGCACTTTCCCGCGGTCAACAGGCGCACTTGGTGTGCCGTCTGCGGCACCCCCTCCTGCGCCGCACAGCTCTTCTCGGCGTGATGAGTACGTTGCTCTGACTCTTCGGCAAGTGCCTCGAGCGGCGGCTGCATCTCTACCAGCGTTGCCTATGTTGTAGAGGTATTCGGTGTTCTGGAATCTACCAAACCCACCGTTAGCAGGGACCTGAAATGCCCACACCGGTTCGCCTTCCGCAACCGGCCGACTGATGATGATCTCTTCTGCAGCCGTGTAGCCTATGCAAGCGCCCACCGCAGCAGGCTGCTCTTGGGATGATGACCCCCTGACGTCCCCGCCGCCGGTCCTCTACCCAGGTCCGCTCCAGCAGGGATCCTTGGCACTATCGGGCTGGTTCCCGGTCTGGTGCTTCTTCCCCCGTGCTGTGCGGGCGGCGTGATTCCGTCGTTGTGCGGCCCCTCTTCCAGCAGACCGCGGGCAGATGTAGCACCCGTAACGACAGCGCCCACCGTGGCGCCGCCGGACTCCCCCTCCTTCTCTAACTTTCCGAGGGTGGCTCGGAGTAGCCCTGTACCTCGTCCGTCAGGCCTGAAACTTTGCTCTCCAGGTTGTCAACCCTGCCCTGCGTACTAGTGGTGACGTCGGCAGCCTCTGCTGCAACATCGGCGCCACTCATCTCCAGCGCGGGTTCCCTCGAGGGATATGTTAGTATACCCTTGTAAGTGTGTTGAAGATGATGGTATCACTTGTATTTAGGACAGCAGACACGATCAGGACGCGGCGGGAGAGAGAGAGTGCCACGACACCAGACACAGGAAGCACTCCCGCAGGGTCGAGCCCCGTGGATCAACCATGAAACCAACCCAGGGGACTATCAATTCCTATCTGCGTAGCCAATTCCTACAGTCCCGTTGGAATATTCTCATCCGCTCATGCACACACGAACAGCGCGAAGTCATCCCATCGAATCGGCCGTCTTGCGCTGCTTCAGTGCAAGCCCTCCGGATTGCCCTCAAACACATTGAATGCCAGTTTTCTTAAGCAAGCGTGTTCTGACAAGTTCCATTCGTGTTGGGGTTGCCTCTGCGCGCTGTTGCAAGAGAGAGCGTCATCATCGTCCCACTATTGTAGTTTTCCCCACTTGCAAATTGGGGTCTCAGCCAGTAAAAACAGATACCTTTCTCCCTCTCTCTGATCGATTTTGTGGCTGAACTCAAAACGCCACGTTGTCGAATTTGACGACGTTGAAACCGTCTCGTCGAAAGCTTCACAGCCGTGGTAGTAGTATCTAACGCTTGCATGTCGTGGAGCAATCGAGCTTTGAAAATCGGTTCCGCAGGTGGTGTATCTTAATTTATGTCAGTCACAACTGCCTACGGTAGTACGGCTGAGGGGGTAAGGACTGCTGTACACGCGGATGATGCGAGAGATGGCACCCGCCCTCGACCGATTTTCGGTTTTCGGAGCTCGATTGCGCCAACACCGAAAACGGTGGTTAAGTGGAACCATCCCGTCGAGTGCTTTCCGTGTAGAGGCAGGCACCGGGCTCTGTATCCGCACCCACTTGGTTGGTTGTGGAGATGTGGAGCTTTGGATGTCGGTCTGTGGTAGTAGTCTAGGGGGGGTACCATCTCTCGCATCATTACGGTACACGCAAGGCTCAAAGTGCGCCCTCAAACTCCAAGGGTATGGCATGGCACCCGTCGGGGACAAGAAGAAGGCAGGGTGAAGGACGTTTTGGATGGGATGGCCAATATTGGTTGCGGGACACAAACTGTTTTCAAAGAACACGTGGGTCTCTGCACAGGGCGCATTCACATTCGTTGATTCGCTGTTTGTTGTTGTGTTGTATATTTCCGCGCATCGCCTAGGCGCCTGCCGGGAAAAATCGCCGTTCTGTCCTCCCTGCCGTGAAAGACACGAGACGCTGATCGTCCATCTCTTCCCCCCGCGGCACAAAAAGCGACACCTAAACCCCCCTCACTACACCCAAAACAAGCACCACCACCTACTGGTACCCATACACTCGCCCATCTATCGTCGTGTTGACAAAACGAGACGACATAATCGGAACCCGCGCAGTGAAATTGTAGCAAACCGCCAAACACAGATCCAACATGACCGGCACAGTAGTACAAAAGCGAAGAATCGAGGAAATGAAGTACGCACCGCCCCCACCGGCAACAAAACTCCACGAGGGACGATCGATGTGACCGTGGACGATACAAACACGGACCTCACGTTTGACCCTGCGGGGATCAACACGAACAAAAACCACGATGCAGGTATAGGTCAAAAGCGCAAACCATCGATGGACGTCGACCTGCTCTGTGCCTGAACGGCCACGTCACATCTAGATCTAGATCAATGAAATCAACCCTTCACAAACCAGCGCGCACAAAGCAGCTAAATCACCACAAACACTTCAGTTCAAACCAAAACCCACGCGGGAGTTCGTTTCTCCTGTATATCCCACACGCGCGACTGTCTATTGCGATTAGACTTGCCGCCTGCCCACACAGCTTCTAATCGGTGGTATCAACAGCGTTGCAGCGACTCATGACGCATGGCAGTCACCGTTCCCGCTGCGACAAGCGGAAGACGAAGCAACACGGGTGGGGTGATGCTCTGCCCACATACCCAACCAAGATGTCTCTCCATTCCACCGCAAAGAGAGCAGTCGCACACAAAAGCCATCACCAACAGCAAGGAATTACAAGCACTATTTGTTCTAGCAGGGAGAAAGCGAGCCTGTTTGCTGCCTGCCCCCGACACTACGATCATACCAAGAGATCGACCAAAAACGACAACGATACATAAACTGGACACACGTGCTACAGTCTGTCTATCGATGTGTAGCACCAAGTGACCCCTGCCCCCCCAACACTACTCATACATGCCTAGAACGTCGAGACGTGGCATGAGAACCACAAAGAGTCCCTCCCTCGCCTACCTCACTCACAGACAAAAAAGCGAGTACAGCCTCTGCCTCAACCCAACACTAAAAATCTCATAGCACCGAGATCGAGCAAAGACTGATGTTCTAGCGGCAAAAGAAAACGAAAAAAGCGCCCTCGGCCCACCATAACGGACAACGGCGCGATCAGCCTGCCCCAACCCCAACACTAGTCACGCCACCAAGTTCGAGCAAAGAACGATAATCTACGTGGCATGAGGACGACACGAAGGGGATGGCTTCGGTGGGGCTGGTTGGATTAGTCTTGTCTTGTACCTAGTCGAGGGCGAAGTGGTCCTGTCCTTCGGTGATGGCGTGCTTGAGCTTGGCCTCCAGCGCCGCTCTGGACGTGTACGCGGGCAGCTTGAGGTACACCTGTTGTTTACGCCGACGCGCAATTTGACACACATAGCACCAAAATGGCAGATGCGTCTGTTTGTTTACATTCATTGAAGACACGACCTGTTTTTTTTTGTGCCTTCATGCCGAAGAGGACGTCGCCACACGGACAGTTTCGTACCACCACAGTGAATGAAAGCAACACAGCTGTCGAAATACATCGCTATTTTACATACTTCTTGATGGACTGTTGAACTCTCTTCTGTGGAAAGAAGAGCTGCATTGCTGTTTTCACCAGAAAACAAAAACAAAACACTCGAGGTAACTGTAGGGTAATAAGCATACCGATCTTCAAAGCCTACCGGTATTCGTCATCCAAGCCTACCGGTATTTTGTCATCCAAGCCTACCGGTATTCGTCATCCAAGCCTACCGGTATTCGTCATCCAAGCCTACCGGTATTCGTCATCCAAGCCTACCGGTATTCGTCATCCAAGCTTACTGGTATTCGTCATCCACTTACTGGGAGGGCGGGGTCCTCATGGAAACGGACCAACCGCTGTCAAATCCTGGCAAAACGAAATCTGGGGCTCTCGTTTCGGCACCCAACCTTTCTTGCGAACAAAATACAAAAAGGAACATTGGCTTGCGAACACCTCAAGCCTACCACCGGTCCGTTTGCTATAGGGACACGGGGGTCCTGATGGGAACGGGCCAACCGCTGACAAATCCTGCATGACGAAAAAAGTCTACCAAAAGGCCGGCCTGTTTTCCATTTTATTTTGGTGTGCCTCCATTTTTGGGAAAGGTACCCTGCGACCACGGAATCGACCGCGTCAAGTGTTAGAATAGTACGGGCAGACGAAGGTACCTGGTGGAGAGATCGGAACGGTTTTTATAATGTGAATACAACAACAACAACAACAACAACAACAACAACAACAACAACAACTGCATGCATGCATACCTGGCACGTAGAGCAGCTTGGCAGGTGGCTGTCCGGAGTGCCCCCCGGAAGCACGTCTACCTCCTTCTTCACCACCGTGAGGCGGGGACGGAGGGCCCCGAAGCCCCCTATCGGCAGCCGGGGAGTCCCGGTAACGAAGCGGAGGAACTGTCGACGTCCTTCCGTGTCGAGGTCGGACATCACGCGCGCCAGCCACTTCACCT